TGTTGTGCGTGCTTATGTAAGGAAGTGTCCCTTTCGTGTGATCCTCATGAAGTTTGTGTAAATTGGAAGAACCGCTTCCAAAATCACTGTGTTTCACTGCTTTGTAAGAGCGAGAAATGTGTGCCTTCTGTTAAAATTACACCATAAATATTTTTTGTAAAGTTTGCATTGTGTAAAACTACTTAATTTTTAACTGTAACTTTATATGAATATAGTATCATTTCTAAATAAAATTTACAGCTAAGTGAAAAGTTGCCGGTTGAGTTTCTTATCGTCCCTTAATGAAATAACAGATAGATTTCAGAAGACTGTGGACAGGATGTCTGTCTATCAAAGTGGTCAGACACTCCATGCGCAATCTAGAAACGACAGTTTACTGAACTGCATGCCTTTGGACTGAGACAGGAAAACCAGAATGAAACCCACAAAACAGAGAGAGAACACACAAGTTCCACACTCACAGAGAAAGGGCGAGATTCAAATCCACAACCCGGGAGGTATGAAGCGACAGCGCCACCTACTGCCACAAAACAACAAGAACTAAACAACAAATGTAACAACAATCATACCCATTGTAATTATTTGCTGGTGAGATTTTGGCAGCTCACCCATAGAGAATAACGGATCAGCAGGCAATGAGCATGGATCGAGTGGCCAAATTTTGGAACAAATTACAAGCATCAGTGAGTTTCACGGGGCATTGAGTTTTATGGCTAACATCAACAATTGCAAAATGTAAATCTTATAAGAACATTTAAGTCTTGTGTCTTGAAACTGTCAGTGGAGGAACTGCCAAGGAATGAGAGAAACAGATGGCTGAGATAATGGCGAACACTTATCCACAGACACTGGAGGAAATTCTTTAATGACGCTCTGCTTCCCGCCAATGCCTCTGTGAACTCCGAACGGGACTTCCTGAAGCCTCTGAACAATCACCTTTTAAATGCCACTGGGAAAAGGCCTTTCTTTATTTATCTGTAGGTGCTTCCAGTACAATGGATTACCTTGGGAATGAAAAATGTGAATACTGCAATACATAAACACTGCATATATAAACTTATATCTCACTACCTATGGCTGAAGCACAGGTGGTGCAGTGCTTAACCCTGACGACATGTGACCTGACAATCGGCAATCTGACCGAACATACTTACGTCATGTATCTATTTCTCTCTTTATCAAACTTTAACTGCTAATTTTTCATCTGTTATTTGTTTCACTGTCTTTTTAAGCAACGGACAGAACACCAGTATAAATACATAATCAGTAAGAGAGGTAATTCTACCTATAGAAATACTAAAATCTCATTAAATAATATTGCAATACAAGAGATGAGAGCAATATCACCGCTATCAGAGCTCAGTAATACCTGTAACTTATGTTTTATTTATAATCCTTAATACAACTGGAAACAAAACTGCATGCGTATTGGTTAATGGACTATGTGCAGTTCTGTTGTGTCACACGCCCTCTAGTGAAATGAAAATTCACACACATATTTGTAGTCCGACAAGCAGAGCAGTTGTCCGATTCCAGTTTTCTGTGCAGAGAACCTGAGTTCCTACTTACTTTACCATTGTGTGTTGCTGGTAGTACATGAAATTAAAATGCTAAGCTAATACACAGCTCACGTAGCTGGTCTGAAAATTAAATGTCATTACAAGCCTTTTAATCAAGATGTATGTGTAACTAGGCAACATTACAGAAGACCGTTCATACTTAGTAAATTACTTGGGAATATTAAAATCTTTAATATCCTACAAAACTTCTAATTGATTCATAATGGAATAGTTGACCGTGCACTAGTAATGTATGGCTTCGTTTTTCTAGTCACTCCCATGATTCTCAGCTTGAAGAACATGTGACTTGCAGTTGGCTGGGATGTGATTTTGGCTGGGATGTGAATTTGGCTGGGATGTGAATTTGGCATACTCCCATTCCTTGGTGCTTGTGTTTGCATGTGTAGCATATGTTGCCTTCAGACTGACTGGCATTTCTCCTTTCATGTTACACGCTCACTAGCAACAAATGACAGCAGACTGACTCAAATAAACCTTTCTCAGTGACGGGTGTTGTTGAAGAAGTCATCCCACCTGCAGGAGTCTCCCCATGACGAGACCTTTCATTACAGCTGGATAATCATTTGCCACTTCTCGTTGGCCTCCTCAACCCACATGCATGAGGAGTTAATGTCAAGTACCTGAAATGCCCCAAGTTTTATGTCTTTGAAGAGGGTTGGGAAAAGGGCAGAAACCAAAGTGAAATGGGTTTAGTGTTACTGTCTTCTGACACGGCCCTGCTGCCTCTTATTGACACTCAGGTGATGTAATGAATTGAGCCAATGAAAGAGAGTGTTTACCCCTCTTTAACCGAGAATAAGTACTTCAGCTAATCCTGCTTGTGATGGTGGTTTATTTATTAGGCTCACGCCTTAGGCACAGAATTTGTGCTAGTCTGTTTGTTTATTTATTGTTTGTTTATGTATTGGATTTATTTTGTTTTATTGCTACTTATTTGCCTATTGTTTCGATGTTGAGATACTGGAGGGGGTGCACCTTTAAATTTTGTTGCTGTGGAAACAACAATTACACTAAAGCATCTGAATCTGAATCTGGAATGTAATAACAAGCACACGGACACACACATCGCCATTCACAAAAACAGCATATGCAGCACGCAAGAGGACGTCGGGCGAGTTTCTATAAAAGGAAATCTTGGCGAGGGGACACAGAAGACAAGACGTGAGGACATAGACAACATGACTCCAGCCTGCTGCCCCCCACCCCTAACCCTCCCATTCCTGTTCTCTTTCCAGGGAAACTCGCATCTTCCGCTCCAACGCCACACGCAGAGGACACGAAGCACAGAGCCATCTGACTGGTCTGTCTCCCGTCCTCGCTGGCTTACATACACAATCCCAACGCAAGCCAACGTCATCAGGTTACTTCAGGTGGAATGAAGGCGTGCCGGCTCCTGTTCACGGGCAGCGTCCTCATGCTCGGAGGAAATAATACCTCATCAGGTAATTATCATACAATCAAAAGGGGCTAAACATTCTCTTCAGTATATATTTAGGTTTCCACTGGTTCTCGTGCAACATTTTCGTACTTTTATGTGATGCTGTAGCATTTTGAAATGTAGTTGTGTTTATTACTCCAATTGTATGCGTATATCTCTTTAGATTGTGCCGGTCATTAAAAAACAGTGCCATGATCAGTACTCAAGTGGCAGTGCTTGTGCAATAACTTATTATTACAGGGATTTTTTAAGCTATTCCTTTTATTGTTCTCTACACCAAATTCATCCACTAGGTAAATGCATACAAAAGGGCCAGTGATGCAACCTTGGTCCTGGTCACCAGTGGGTGATGGGTTTTAGATTATACTCTGAGTCCAGTTCTCACCTTTGCGGAGATAGTTCTACCTTGAACAGGACATAGGCATGGCTTTACGGCATGGTGATGACCTTCTCTGGTCACGCACCTCCACATGCTAACATCACCTGCAGAGCAGCACCCTGGCCTCTGGGCCAGATGGTCCAGGCTTTGATTCCCAGAAGTGGGGGGCACAAGGGGACCATGCAGCCGGTGCTGAGCTCCCACAGTGAATACAGCTGCTCCAGTAGGTAAAATGTCCATACAACCATCAGTATCTCCACCATAGGAAATTTACACACAATAATGGGGGGAAGTCAGCTCTGTATAGAACAACATACAGTGACCAGAAGTTAGAATGAAAGGTCCACAATGGACCACAATGGGTTTCACGTGGCTCGGATAAGCACGGTCTGATTTATGTGCTGCAGACAGAGTGGCTGCATTCAAATGATCAAAATGTTTTATTAAAAAAAAAAAAAAACTTTTCATTCATTCATCTTCTATACCACCTGCCCAATACTGGGCCGGAGGAGGGGGGGCTTACAGCGTATATCCCAGAAACAAGGGCCACAAGGCAAGGAATACCCAACCATCGCAGGGCTCGACTCTTAAAAAAATGTAATACCTATTTATGCTTATATAGGAAACATGGCAAACAGTTACACAAATTGCTGTCCATCCAAGTTGCCAGTAAGAGACTAGGACTATGAAAGCAGCATCACGGCCATCTTATTAATGAACTTGCAGATGAAATCATAAAGTACATCTGGAACAACCTGTCAGAAAAACAGCAAAAAGTGACACTTCTCTAGCCTAGTACAAAAAAAAAACAGGATCCAATTGGATCCTGTTTTTTTTACTTCATTTTTTAGTTCTGTTATGTTACATCAAAGTAGGCGTAGTGTAATTATTACTCAATAACACCCCAGGATTCAAAATCTGTAAAATATGTAATATACTGTATCTGAAGAATCATAATGTGTATTTATAAAGGACTGGATTTAAGTCCAACGGGTTAATGTGTAGAGCTGTGGATTTATTTCAATTATTTTAACGCTGCTTTTCTTGGCGGGTTATAACGATCGAAGCAAATTATAAAGCAAATTATAATTAAGTTTAGTCTTTTGCCCCTAGATTTTTTTTATATAATCCCACCCTTAGGATAAAGTGTCAAATAATCGTAGAAAATTCACTGAATAGGGAGATTATAAATGCCATCTACACTACTGTAATGTACAATATAATTCTTTTAATACTAATTCGAATTGACGCGCGTAACATGAAATGCCACCGAAATATAGACCGCAATAACCATTTCATTCGAATAACGCCGTCTCACCAGCAGGAGTCGCAAAGACATTTGTAAAAAGATTAAATTCAACTTCATTTTATAAGTGTACGAGAATCTAACATGGAGATTTATACACATAGAACGCACATTTCATGCTTAAATTGTTTATACAAATGGAAAACAACACTGGGTGAATGTTCCTTATTTCATTTAAAAAATAATATATAGAGTAAAAATAATTGATAATGCCTATGACTTTAAAGCATAAGCTGTTAATGAAGAAAAGCTAGTTCCTGATTTCTCTAGTGGTCAATCACTATGCCTAATCGCCATTCTTCTCTGCACAGACACCTATTCTGTAGGCTATATCATGCTAATCTTAATGTATGTTATTAACAGGGTAAAGACAGGGAAATGGACGCAGATTCACGCTAACTTTGTTACCGAGCATAATTTTTCTGATGGAAAATCAAAGGGGCTGACAGAAGCAGGCATTTAATCGTATCGAGCGGTTTTGTGGTGCCTTTTGAGAGGGCATTGCTCTAGTTATGTCATTCTTTGACCGCTTGCCTGTCATGTGAGCTGAAACATCCAGATCTATAATATGCAGCACAAGGCTGAGTGGACAAGGATGCTGGTGGAAAAGCTGTCGCCTAATGAAAATGCAACGATCGTTATTATGCATGGCAGTGTAAACATGCCGTCCTAACGCGGTCCCGGTGGGCTCGATCAGAGATGTTATTTTAGGAGGTTAGGTCTTCGAGGAGCTGCAGTGGTCCACCGGCAGACGACACAGGCTCCCGGGAGAGGATCGCGGCAGCCCGATGCTGCAGATTGCGGCGCTCGGAGCCTGGCTTCTCCTTACGGCTACAAATAAACAATGAGTCCGGGAGACACAATTCATGGCACGGCACCCATAGAAACCCATTTCCTTAAACTAGTTGGTCGACCAGAGCTTGTCGTCGCAAACCGCAATCGTATGGGGATATTGTACATCGGCGCGGGTAGGTGACATTTCTAGTCATTTTGCGATCATACGATTGTTTTGTATTAGAAGGCAAGTGATAGACTGCTGATGCATGGATTAATGCATGGTAGTACTAATAATAAGCATCCATGTGCTTCCGAATTTAAATAAGATTTTAATTATTAATGCTGGATATTCCATCCACCGAATGCATAAAATTTGTGCTATAACTGTTTAACTGTTTGCTATGTTTCCTATGCACACATATGCAGTTTCCTTCTTTGTATGGCATTGTCAGCCTATTAACAATAAATATTTCGTTCTCTAAAGTAGCTGTAGTGTTCACCTATTTTGAAACTGTGCGGTATACTGTACTTATTTCTGTCCCTAGTTAGCGCTGACGCGAAATTGCTGCATTTATCCGCTAAAATCCCTGACATTTTTGGTAGCTTTGGGCTATTCTGGGTATTGGATGAGAATAACGTGCTCGGTTATTGTTATCGTTTTCTTTGGGCAATAGCTGTACTGTATGTCGCTGTTGTAATAATTTCCGGGCAAATGTTAAGTTTGATCAGTTTGAAGGGGAAAAAAGTGGAATCTATCCAATTCGGCTACTGCTTTCGTTTTTTTTCACACACTTTAGGAATAAATAGCGTGTCTTTTGACTGGACCAACTTATATGACCCATATTATCAGCAGGTAGTGGGTAGTGATGACTAGTTTCTCTTTTCCAAGGAGAGGCTGACTATTTACCATACTGGAGCAGAACTGGACATTTCTTACCTCACACTCATATACATCCCTCAAGGTGTACAGCCTTGTTTGCATTATCCTACAAAGCTGATGGTTAGTTTGCCTGCAGATTGAGTGCAGTTCCATGTTCAAGCCCCCTTTCCTATTGACTGAAGCAGTAAGGGAGGCTATTGCCATGGTGAAGGGTGGCTTGTCCAATCAGTGCTTTTGCCCGGTGGGGGCAGAAATGACACATCAGCTTGCTCTGCTGCTGGGAGAGGCAAGTGCACAACCATTCACAGAAAAACAAAGCCGTCTGGAGCATATACTGTGGCCTGTTTTAGTCCTGTTTTCCCTTCTTCTCCTCTGAAGCACTCCTTCTCGATCTCCCCCTGGTAACCAGCACCTCAGGACCAATCGAAGTTGACAGGAACTACTCCGAAGCCTGTAAGTAAAAGCATTACATCGGCACGCACAGTCTGCTGCATGCATTACACGAGCAGCACTAGTCATTAGCTTCCATTAGCGAGAGCGCTACGTTGTTTTAAATCAGCAGCTAGAAGCAGTACTGCAGGAACTGCTTCACGGAGGAGTCACAACGGTTAATGTATGCAGTGACTCTTAAAGATGACTCAGAGTATGCTCAGGCATTTCTTGGTTTCCTCGGAGATACTGTCAGGCTCTGGCCCGATGCCTTCATGGACAGATTTCCATAAATGACGCACATGCATTGGTTTGAGAACTTCCATGTTGGGTGAAAGAAATCCCCAACACAACTTAAGGGGGATTCTGGGAGCCCCACAGGTGGTGGGTGTCAGTTCTGGAATCTGACTGGATGCCTGTAACTGGTTACACTGGATAAGCAAAGAGGATGTATGTGTCACCACACTGGACGCCCATGGACTGGAGAGACTAAGGAACATGGAAGCCTTGTGGAAGCCAATCAGTTATCTAAACAATGGGTGTATTGGGTGCATAAACATAAAGAGGGGAGCCTTACTGGTATTGTCTCTGCCTTTCAGATGAGGAAGTCACCCTTCTGTGCAGGAAGGAGGAGCTAAACTTTGGGAACTGCCTGTTCGATTGGCTGCGATGTTATAATAGGAGGGGTTGTGGCAGGGATTACATGTTGATGAAACTGATCTGCTCAGGTAAGGGAGACTTGGGCGATTCCCGCCCGCCGTCCTGTGCGCTAGAGTCATCCATCTTCATCTTCTGTCATCTGTGCTCGACGTGGTGGATTTCACCCCTACTACAGCGGCCTTGTGGACTAATCCTTCCAGACAGAACCGAGACCATTTATTGATGTGTCTGGTTACTCATTTTCATCTTGTTATGTTAATCAAATGATTTTGACAAGCTCTATTACAGCAGATACGGGGAAATCAAAAAAAAAATCTCTATTTATTCGAAAACCCCGTCAGTGTTGCCCCTCAAGAAAAACAAGCTGTCAGTAGTTGATTAGAGACTGCGAGAGATGTGACACGTGTCTCTTTGGTGTAATTCGGCCAAGCTCTTTAGTCTTGGGTTGATTTAGCTGTGTCATTTAAGCAGCTGGCTGGTCGATACGGCTGACATCATTGCTAACAAAAGCGCAGAAAAAACTTGCTCATGATCGCAGGTTTTTCAGCCTTATCAGAGCTGGATTGTCCTCAAACTTCTACATTTTAGTTCTCCTCCAAGGTTTGCCCATAGTAACCAGGAGTTTGTGTGTGTTGTACTCTTAGTATGTACTGTAGAAGTCAAACATCCCTGTCCGTCGCTCTGCTTGCATCTGAAACCCAATCAGTAAACAACCTTCCTGGTCTTTTTTCTGGGTAACTGCGTATCCCCCAGATGCGGCACATTTGTGATGGCCGCTAATGCGTCCTGACCTTTCTCTAAATTGTTTGCAGAAGGAGACAGATCCTCCCCACTCACGATCACGCTGCTAACTAGAGGCTGCACATGGTCGTTTGGCTGCAGATTTCAGACCTGGGCTCCCTAATGCATGGTTATGGTACAATAAATTAAAAAAGAACACACACACACACACACACAAACAGCAGATAAGACGTTTTGCATAGTCTGCAGCATTGTCTTAATGAACACTGTAAACTGAGACATATTTACATTCACTGAAAACAATGTATGTACTAAAACACAATTGGAAACCCATTTCCCTCATGTGAGATTTCGATTCAGCCCCAATAGCGTCGAAAAGTACATTTCGGAAACATCTAATCCGGACATGATTTGGTACAGCGGCATGGCCGCTAATGTCATCTGCCAAAGAGATTTTAGCTGGTTAATATGACTTCCCGCCATTGCCGTGATATATAATTCATAAGTCATCTATCTCATTCCTGAAATATCACAGTTGCCCATAGCAATAGCCTTGACTGGACCCTCCATTTTGGTTCCGTTTCATTTAAGACGCAGAATGAAGTCATAGGTTGGATTCTGAGCATCGGACCTAGTGAGGGGGCCTCAGTACTTCTGTTATAGTTAACACCTCTCTCTTGACCCAGTGGGGTGTGTTTCAGCGTCCAGGTTCATCAAAAGCCTTCCAGACAGAGTTCCACCCAGAACAGCTGCCCAAAGCCTAGAAGCTACCGTAAGCTCTGTAGCCCAGCCAGGTTTTCCTACCCATTTCTAGCTGTTTACAGAAGAAACTCAATAGGGCGGAGTGCGGCTCAGCAGGTTAGAAAACTGTACCTGTGATCGGAATATTGTTGGGTCAAATCCCAGGGTCAGCAGAGTCATGTCATCGTTGGGTCTTTGAGCAAGGGCTTTAACCCCAATTGCTCCAGGGTCCGCCTTGACCCTGCATTGTATGTTGCATTGGATTAAAAAGAGTCAGGAAGTGGATCTTAACCAGGGCTGGGTCTCTCCCATTGAGCCACCTGCTGCTATATTATTTGTCACCAAACGATGCAGATCTATTCCCATGAGTACCAGACTGTCATACATTACTCTCTACATGGTTTCACCTGTGTTCACCTCTGCAGACTGTATGGTAACAAATTAATCTCCTTAGTCATTTTAAAAAACTGACCGGCGTAATAGATACTAATTTCCAGCTTGCTCCACTAAGGTGATTTAGGATGATTTATAGGGTGGAGATTCTCCACCGTGAGAGCCTGGGGATCACTGGTTTACAATGCATGTGAAAAGACGAAGCACTCATCTGCATCCCCTTAGTCCAGGAGCCGTAAAGCCTTTAAGAATTGGAGGCTCTGCAGTGTCCATGCTATCCTGTCCTGAGGTCATGTGACAAACGTTAGTTACTCTATAGCAGTGATTCCCAATGCAGTCCTTGGGGACACACAGACACACATGGGGGACTGTGGGTCCCCGAGGACTGGATTGGGAAACACTGCTCCACAGTTATCATTGTGCCTAACTTTTGATGACATAAACATATACATTGTAAAACATGTTTTTTTTTCACAAGTGAAATTCACAGATACGGTGGACACTTCGTGCCCCCGAAAGGTGTTCACGCCTTCCCACTATCTTAAAAAAAGTGGATCTGTTACACAGTGGAGGCTGAAGTTGTGAAGTCTAAGACTCCAGTGCCAAGCGAATGAGCCCTTGTAACTGGCTCACTGTGAGCCAGTAAAAAGATCACCAGTGCATGCAGCTGGACTCTGCCAGCAATGGGTCAGATTCTTTCATATTCTTTCATAGTCCAGCTTGTATCCAAGCAGGTGGCATTCTTGCACAATAGTTACATCCATCCATATATACCAGTCAGGGTCAGACTAATGGGGTTGGATGGTGCCTGTATGATAACAGATACATACTGGAATATTCTTAATTAAAAAGACCATATACTGTATATATATCACTGTATATTCGTGAGCTTTTTATATTTGATTGTAGGCTTTTTGCGGTTTACAGATACTACAGATACAGTACATACATCTTTATAAGTATTTCCTTAATGGCAGAATGGCTACACCTCAGCTGTAAATAAGCCATAGCCTGCCCCTCCCCCCCATCTCAATGTGTTTTTCAGCCCCCCATTACCTCCATCTCCACCTTGGCTGACAGATCCCATCCCCCCCCCCCCCCCCCTGGGCGACAAACCCCCCCCCCCCCCCCCCCCGGGGAGTCACCACCTGAGGAGCTGTGTGGGCGGGGCCACATCACTGAGCTGATAGGGTACAGATAAGGCCCCCCCCCCCGCACACACACGTATCGCCGCCCCCCAGCAGTGGCCCTAATAAAGCAGCACGCCCGCTTGACTAATTGGCTACTGCAGCCCCCCGCTCCGGATGGTGACCTTCTCCCAGCTGCCGTCACACCTCGCGGCGAGACCTTTCCATTAGTTACGGGGCGCGGCGGCGCCGGGCAGCGTCCCCCGCTCCTGCCGATGCGAGACACGCTCGCACACAGAGCTGACTGAGGCTGCATCCATCACCCTCACCACACTGGGCCTGGCAATGCGGCTGAAGTGAGGAGCAGAGAGAGCATCCAGCCTCCGGTTTTCCAGTGCTGGCTGGGGTGTGTGTGTGTGTGTGTGTGTGGAAATCCTACTGTATTTGTGGCTGGGCTGTTGTAAGTCTTGACAGGGGTCAGTCGTTAGAAACCACGTGCACCTAAATGAGTATGAGTATATGTTTGGCTGTTTATATGTACCCTCTGTCTGAGGTGGAATAAGAATGAGAAATCAAATGTGCGTATGGCTGTCTGTCTGAGGATTGGCTGTCAGTGTGTATCCGTCTGAGGATTGGCTGTCAGTGTGTATCCGTCTGAGGATTGGCTGTCTGCGTGAATCCGTCTGAGGATTGGCTGTCAGTGTGTATCCGTCTGAGGATTGGATGTCTGCTTATAACTGTCGGAGGATTGGATGCCTGGGTGTAACCGTCTGAGGATTGGATGTCTGTGTGTATCCGTCTGAGGATTGGCTGTCAGTGTGTATCTGTCTGAGGATTGGATGTCTGTGTGTATACATCTGAAGATTGGCTGTCAGATACACAATGTCTGAGGATTGGCTGTCTGCGTGTATCTGTCTGAGGATTGGATGTCTGTGTGTATACATCTGAAGATTGGCTGTCAGATACACACTGTCTGAGGATTGGCTGTCTGTGTGTATCTGTCTGAGGATTGGCTGTCTGTGTGTATACGTCTGAGGATTGGATGTCTGTGTGTATCTGTCTGAGGATTGGCTGCCTCTGTGTATCTGTCTGAGGATTGGCT